GCGAGGAGAGACAGAGAGAGATGAGAGGAGATAGAAAGGAGAGAGATGAGCGAAGAGACAGGGAGAGAAAAGAGAATGAGAAGAAGAGATAGATGAGTGAGAGACAGAGAGGAGAGAGAGAGAGACAGATAGACAGAAAGAAAAGAGTGATGAGTAAGAGAGAGAAAGAGAAGAGAGAGAGAGAAAGATGAAAAAACGGGTGAAAGATATAGACAAAGGAGAGGAGAGAAAAAAAGAGCGAAAAGAAAATAAACGAGAGAGAGACAGAGAGGATGAACGAGAGAGATAAAGAGAAGAGAGATAGAGAAGAGGAGATGAGAGAAATAGACAAAAGAGAGATGGACGAGAGAACAAAGAGAAAAATAGAGAGAGATAGATAGACAGACAGACAGAGAAGAGTGATGAGTGAGAGAAAGAAAAATAAGAAGAGACAGAGACACAGAGAGAAAGAGGACAGACAGACAGACAGACAGACAGAGCAAGAGTGATGAGAGAGACAGAGACAGAGAGAGAAGAAGGACAGAGACAGAGAGATAGGAAGATGAAAAAAATGGTTGAAAAAGTTCTGTGTCTAAAGTCTCCTTTTCTAGTAGTAAGTTGTCTCTATCATTCATGGGTAGAATAGAGGCGCGAATTTGGGAATTGTATATTTTTATAAAAATCAAATTGAAATATTTATACAATCACACCTATTTAGGGAGTGTGATTAAATATATATATATATATAATTACATTATTTAAAAAAGTGTGATGAAAAAGTAGTATATGTATATATAATCACACTTTAATTAAAATGTGTGATTAAAAATATATATATAATCACACTTAATTTAAAAAGTGTGATTAAAAAGTAGTGAGTGTATATATAATCACCACTTTAATTAGAATGTGTGAATTAAAAAATATATAAATAATCACACTTTAATTAGAATGCGTGGGTAAAAAATATATATATAATCAACACTAGTTTTAAAAAGTATGATTTAAAAAATTAGTAGTGTATGTATAATCACACTTTAATTAGAGGTGTTGATTAAAAAATATATAATAATCACACTTTTAATTAGAATGTGTGATTAAAAAATTATATATATAATCACACTTTAATTAGAAGGTGTGATTAAAAATATATATATATATATATAATCACACTTAATTGAAAAGTGACATAAAAAATAAATATTATCACACTCAATCAAATTAAGTGTGATTAAAATATCAATCTAATTTTTTTTATCACACTTCCAATAAAAATGAGATTTTTTTTTTTTGTCAAAGTGTGATCTTTAACTATTTTTGTAGTAGTGGAGAAACAGAGAGAGCAAGAGACTGAACTTATTTGGGTCTATGTACATATTGATAGAAAATAAATTGGGCGGTAATGTAAGAGTGTATTCCCACCAAAAACATGAATCTGTGTTTTTGAAATTGTTTAACTTTATTGCCGACAAAATGTTTTTTGGTCCCTAAAAATAAGTATTTTGCCGACCACATTTTTGGTCGGCAAAGATCAAAGTAAAAAAATTTCATTAATATTTGGCGACGAAAATATTAGTCGCAGAAAAGGTACCTTCGCCGACAAATCTTTTTAGTCGCCAAATCTCAATCAACGGCGACTAAAATATTTGTTGCTAAATGTATTAATTTGGCGACTAATTTTTTTGGTCGCTGAAAATAAGTTTTTGGCGACCAAATTTTTGGTCGCCAAAGAAAAAAATAATTTTTGGCGACCAAAAGACCATAGTAGTCGCAAAAAAAAATACCTTCGCCGACAAATATTTTTAGTCGCCAAATCTCAATCAACGGCGACTAAAATATTAGTCGCTAAAAGTACTAATTTGGCGACTAATTTTTTTTGGTTGCTGAAAATAAGTTTTTGGCGACCAAATTTTTGGTCGCCAAAAAAAATGTGACCTTTCGCGACCAAATTTGTAGTTGGTCGGCAAAAGCATACCACTTTCTGCGACCAACTCATTTTTTGGTCGCCAAAATATAACATTCTGCGACCAATAATATTTGGTCGCCAAAAATAATGATCATTCGCGACTAATTAATATTTGGTCGCCAAATATCATTTTTTTGCGACCAAAATTTTTTTGGTCGGCAAAAGTGGTCGGCAATTGTGTAAATTCTTGTAGTGTGTTTATGCAATTACAAGGGGTTTGATTGGTGTAATGTCAATCCTACCTCGTCAAATGTTTATTTTGTCCTCATTTTAGTGGTTCTTTTGAAGTTATAATATTACACTACTAAACAATAAGGGGTCTATTTTTAATAATTCAAATAATTTATTTTATAAAAATTTTCATATAAATCATACCCACAAAATTAATTGAATCTAATAATTAAAATCTATCCAATTTATCATATGTCTAAAAAAAGTAAATGACGTGTTTGAAAATAGAATACTTATTTTTTTTATTTAAATAATGATAAAATATAACATTACGTTTTGATATGTCTATGTATAAGAATTGCTTTGTTAAAGCTGGCTTGTCTTTTCATTTCCATTTTATCCTTCGTTTTTCTTTTATTTTACCATGTGCACAATTGTCCTCTTGTGATGACAAGGCACACCCACGTAGATTACCACAATTATTATTTTGTCCAAAAAAATTAATTTCACTATTGTCATAATTCTTATGGTATTTACTTTAAGGTTGGGCTTAGGGGTTTTGCTACAAGAAAAATCACTTTTGACGATTAAATTTTTAGTCATCAGAGGTCCAGTTTTAGTCACCAAAAGTCGTCTTTTTACCTTCCTCGACTAAATTTTTTAGTCGCCGGTTTTGTCGCGAGTAAACGGTCGTAGAAGGTTTTGGCGACTAAAAAGGTTTTAGTCGGCAAAAAGACAGGTCTTTAGCGACCAAAGTTTTGGTCGCCAATACTCAATTCCACTGTTTAAAATTGTACATTTCTCGACAAATCTTTTAGTTGCCAATAGTTGATGGAACGCCGACCAAACTATTTAGTCGCCAAAACAAATACTTTTGGCGACCAATAGTTCAGTCGCCAAAGGTTGTTCAGTGGAAAAAAAAAAAAATCTAACTTTTTTGCTTTTTCTAAGATTTGAACCACCAACCTTTTGGTGGAACGCCGACCAAACTATTTAGTCGCCAAAACAAATACTTTTGGCGACCAATAGTTCAGTCGCCAAAGGTTGTTCAGTGGAAAAAAAAAAATCTAACTTTTTTGCTTTTTCTAAGATTTGAACCACCAACCTTCTACTTTCTAAACCTTTAACAACACACTCCTCCCACTATACCACTACAACATCACATGAATATATATGCAATATATATTATTTATATACTATATTGACCCATATTAATATAAAACTATATATATAAATATAATTATTTTTATGCAATGTAATTTATGTGAAAAATAAATTATTTACTAAAAAAAAATTGAAGCCACTTTTGGAAACTAAATATATTATTTAGTCGCCAATAATGTAATTTTGGGCTACTAAAATATTTTTTAGTCGCTAAAAAAATAAGCTCCGGCTGAAAGTAGCATTTTTGGCTACTAAATCTGTTTTTAGTCGCCAAAAACGTCCCCTTTTGGCTACTAAACTGAATTTTAGTCGCCAATTGCCTGTTTTTAGCTACTAAATTTTTTTTAGTAGCCAAAAAGCTTCACTTTCAGCGACCAAACTGTTTTTAGTCGCCAAAACACGTAGAATCGACGACCAAACTGTTTTTTAGTCGCCAAAACCTATACTTTTGGCTACTAAATTATTTTAGTCGCCAAAAACCATCACTTTTGGCTACTAAAAAACCTTTCGTCGCCAAAACCCATACATTCGGCGACTAAATCTTTTTTTAGTCGCCAATAACTATACATTTGGCTACTAAACTCTTTTAGTCGCCAAAAGTCTTCACTTTTGGCTACTAATTCCATTTTAGTCGCCAATTGTGTTACTTTCAGCGACGAAAATTTGGTTTTTAGTCGCCAAAACTGCTTTTCCTTGTAGTGTTTGTGGAGCCTACCATGAATCTCGTTTTAATAATCCAAATTATTCATTCTGTAGAATGCTCTATGTATATCATTCATAAAAACTTAAGTCAATCTAATAATTGTAATATTTTAATTTTGTTGTATTTTTTTCAAAAATGGGATGGTCTATTTTTAAAATGATCATTCATTTTTTCGAAGACATATGTGGTAAAAGAAAAATATTCTATGTTAGTTTCTAGTTTTTTTAAAACACTTTACAGAAAATTTTACTTTTTTGTTTTCTGTATTTTTTTATTTTTACTGAATTTTTTTAATATTTTAAGCAAATTTTTTTTAATTTTTAGACAGACCTAACATAAATACACTTAAAAAATATAATTTTCGTGAAAAAAGTCACCAAACACAAAAAAAAAAAGCCAAAAAAAAAATTAAAAATAAAAATTCAATATATTTTTCGTATTTTTGTGTATTTATTAACTTTTTAAAATATTTTTTCACAAATATTTTACTTTGTAGATATATCTAAGTAAGGTGTATTAAATTTTTTTTAAAAACACTTAAAATTTTAAAAATATTCACTAAAAATAAAAAAATACGAAAAATAAAAAACTCAGTTTTAAAAAATTGAATTCAAAAAATTGAAACCAAACACAGTGATTATGATTATCAAATTAACCTAATTTTTTCGTATATAATATACACAAAGGGTCTTACAAAATAAATAATTTAGATTATAGAAATAGGACTCTTGGTAAGCCCTATGCGTCTCAATTTCTCTCAAGTTGAGATTATTTTTATTTATTTATTTTATTTTTTTTTGACGGTTGAGATTTGAATATGGAATATGAAAAAAAAACTCCTTGATCTTTTATTGTGATGACCCAAAAATATATATATATATATATATATAATAATAATAATAAAAAAAAAATGGGAGATGGAGAATAGGATGATTATGTTTTTGGGTGGAGGCCGTTTGGGCGGTGGAGAATCATTATGGTGGAGGAGGTGGAGAGCCAAAAAAAATAAATAAATAAAGGGGCGTGGGTTGGGGTGTTCAGGTGGTGCATATTATTTTAAGAGAGAGAATGAGTGGGAATTAGGGATTTGATTGAATATGTCCAAATTTGATCCTGATTCATCATCTCATGGGCAAAGTGACTATTAAAATACTTTCTTACTCATGCAAGATAGCTGATGTCACAGAGGAAAAGAATTTCATTGGTGGAAGTCATATATAGGCAAAGGCAGCCATAGCCATTCACCAAGGATCTTTTAGAGTAAAATTTTTTTAAAATTTTTTAAAGTCTTATATTATGTGTTGAAATTTATTGGCAAGTCACATAAAAAAAATTGATGTGACTTGCCAATAAATCTTAACCACACAATATAACACTCTAGAAAAGTTTAAGAAAAAATCACTCTAAAAATTCTTGCTCGCAGCCATTGCCCACCATGGATGCCATATACTTCATCCAGCCTACTAAAGAAAATGTTAGTATGCTTCTGTCTGACATGACTGGACGAGCAGCTCGGTACAAAAAGCATTTTTTTTTAGTTCACCTGTTCCACGAGAAATGGGTTAACCATATCAAAAAGGATGGTAGTGTGTTACCTCGCATGGGTGCCTTGAGAGAGATGAACTTGGAGTATTTTGCTATAGGTTCAGAGAATCTTGGTTTTGGTTTTTCAGCTGAAACTGAAGTGAGAGACGAGGCGGAAGAGAGAGCACGGAGCAGCTGTTTCATAAAGGCTTCTATTTCATCAAGGCCACCAATAACTTCACCTGTTGGACCATCTTATAATAATTTCCAAGCCGACTCTTTTAAGCTGATGGAACTCCTTGGACCATAGAAGGTTGATCCTGTCGATGTAAAGCTCATTGAGAAAAAGCTTTTTGGCTATTCCACCCTCTGGGTGACCACAGAAGAGCCATTTGGAGATCTAGGAGAGGATTACCACCCGGTCATTTATGCAATAAAGGCAACCCAGATTCCTCGGGCATCAGCTAGTGCTATAGCATTTGGCATGGGTCTGTTTAGTGGGAGAGGAAACCTTGGACTCGGGCATCATCGAGCTTTTGCAGTAACCAGTGAAAGCCATGCAAGTGATATATGGCTGAGATTCCTTGATTGTTGTCAGAACTACAAGGCCTTTAGGAAAAGTCAGGAGCCTGCTGTTCGAAAGCTTAAGGAACCTATCTTGGATGAAATTACCCATACAGTTGTGAGGCATTATGAGCTGAATTTTACTAGACAAGATACGTCTTCTCTCTGGTTTTTGAGCAAAGAGGAAGCATTTTTATTGAATATAACTGACCGAGCTTGTGCTTTGTTCACTCCATCTGAGGTTGCTTTGCTGGAGTGGACTGATGATTTGGGACTGTTCATATTGAAGGGTTATGGTAATGCATTAAACTACAGGATGGGAGTGCCATTGCTTGAAGATGTTGTTCGGTCCATGGAACAAGCTATTAAAGCCAAGGAAGAGAAGAGAAGTTTGAGAAGTTGGAAATTTGGATTTTGCTTGTTTCTTCCTCAAACTTGTGGTAGGAATTTTCTATACTCTAATATGGTTTTTAAATTAGTTATTTGTTATTGTGTATAGATGATGAGCTTTGGTTGTGGTTTGGACAAATCTAAGATTTGGGTGTGAAATGAAAAGAGAGATTTTGATGAATATGAGGTAAACGAGTATGAGACTTGAATATAAAATCATATTGTGCCAAAATAGTTGATTTTGGTGTTTGGGTTGATATTTGGTGAAAGGGGAATTTTGCCCTAATTTTGATTAAATTATTATTTTGCATAAATAATTGGGATTAACATTGGAAATGTGAAATTGGAAGGTTGTGATTATAAATGGTGATATTGGATATGTATTATCTCATATATGGAAGTTTTGAATAAACTATTTATTTTGATATTGAACATCTCTTTAGAAATAATTGCATTGGGCTATCGGTGGAGGATAACTATGATTGTTGTAGAAATTATATGAGGATTAGGCGATTTAATGCTAATCCATTGTTGGTGTCATTGAATATGACCATGTTATAGATGCATTATCTATGTATGTTTATTGGGAGGAGAAAGGGGATGTATTCCATATGTGATTATGTTTATAAATACATTGCCTATGTATATTTGTTTGGGAGGAGAAAGGATATGGACTCCATTTAAAGCAAGTTGGCCGGAGTGTCCTGGGTGAAAGACCCAAAATTTTATATATAAATCGGTGTCGATTCCTTCGGACCAAATATTCGTAAAATGGCAAGTTTGAAGTGTTTATGTGAGTTTTGCATAATTGAAAAATCATTGAGTTGTAATCTCATTTTGATTGTTGAAAGATAACTAATTTAACTCATGAATTGAGTAGCATATATGAACTGGAAATGAAATTAAAGGAAAATGGAATAAGGTTGGTCTTAGTGGCATATGAATATGCAGGTCTTGTGGATGTTTCAGGATCGGTATTGTTTATATACATGGTATATATACCTTTGTTAAACCTCATAAATTGTGTTAGATTATTTCTATTAGACTGTTGGCTCACCCTGTATGGGAATACCCTTTTCAGGTACAAGTGAGAAGCTTCCTCCAAGGCAATAGCGTGGATGGAGTTTTGGGAAGCAAGAGCTTCTTAATTATGCCTTATGTGTGTATGTTTGTTATTTGTAAAGCCAAGGACTTAAGATGTAATGAGCGAGACTCAATTTGTGTAACGAAGTAATGACTTGAAAACATGTACATGGCATTTAACTGGTTGTTAAACAGTGAACTCTGATATATAAAAGTATGTTGTTTCTCATATTTATTCCGCATATGAGTTATCTTTATTGTATTATTTTGGAGGCGTGACATTTATTTTCTCTATTTAATCTTTTATTGGAATATTAAAATTATATAAATTTTGTACCATGCTAAATAATTAATCTTGACTTAGAGCATCTCTACTTAAATTATCAATTTTGAGGTGACACTTTTAAGACTAAAATGTGATATTGTTGTGGTCCTTTCGAACGTATAAAATTGAGTTGCTAATTAGTATGTCTTAATACTAAGTTTTTGCTTAGCATGTACTCAAATAGCACATACTATTTTAGCTCATTATCTTATTTGGGTTACAATCATCTTATTTAGGTCATATTATATTTCTATCACATCACTTCATATCGAATCCATATTTTATGTTTTTTTCATAAAAAATCAAAAAGTACACTAATCTAACACTTTCCAAACAACCCCTAAATTTGGCATTGCATTAAAAAGATATCAATTTTTTTAATTTTTATTATTTTAATAGTAAGGACTTATAAAAGATTTAAAAAATAAATAAATAAAAAATTTTGAAGTAAAAATAATAACTATTATAACAATCCAAAAAACATTTGTACAAATAACATGAATATTTTCATCTTGATTTTACTTCTTGAAATATGAAAGTTTGTAAATTTGTTTAAATTGTAAGAGATTCTTCTAATAGTATAGCAAAATGATGTTAGAATATCTCTAATGATATCCCAAATCTTTGACCCAAAGTTAATTTTAATTATACCCTCATAAAATATAAAATAAAATAAAAATAATTATTTGCCGAATCTTCAAATTAAAATTTATTAAAGTCAAATTTAGTGTCAAATTTGTCACTTGAGTAGTGACAATCATGATCATTAGATTTTTTTTTAAATTTATTTTAGAGCATTACCTCCACTACTATTACCACTAGCATTAATATTATAACTATTAATATATTAGTTTTAAGACTGCAATGTTAATTTGTTTTGTCTGTTTGTACGTTATGCAAGAAAGTAAGTGTAATAAAAAATATATAATATTTTTAAGCTTTTTTATCATGTGCCCTTGGGCTTAACAAGACCCTTTAAGTAAATTTTAAAAGGTGTATTTGTAATTTATTCTTATTTTTTAATAAAATGTAATTTTGATTTTTTACTTTAAGGTAGTGTTTTTTTAATGGAAAAAAAATACAATGGAATGGTTATTTTGCAAAGGTTAGAAAATAATAATTCCATTCAATGTCATCTAATTCAATGACATTTCACCTTCATATGGATTATTCCCTATGATTTTGAAAATTACAAATATTTTTTGTCATAATTTTTTGTTTAACATACTTAACAAAAAAAAAAAAAAAAAAAAATCCTAACGACTCTCGTATATAACAATAAATTTATTTGAATTTTTAATTTGAAACATATTTATGATATTATTACAAATTATTAATTAATTTAATGATTTATTAACAAAATAAATCATCTGTTATGCAATTAAAAATTTAAAAGGGTGAGATGTAGTTTCTACAATTACAAATGACAATCTATATTTTAAACAAATCTCATGAAATATATTTTTAATTTACTTAAAATTTGAGAAATTATTCAATATTTTCGGAGTACCACGTTTCTGTACTCCCTAACTAATCATCATTCAATATGTCCTCTCATGTTTTCCAATCACCCAACACAATATTCCACCTATTTACTTTCTCCATCAATTATAATGCTATGAAATACTATGTATCCATACTCCGAAAATACTGAATAATTTTCCTTAAAATTCAAATATTATGTGTAAATAGCACGTGCCTTGCACATGTATACTTTCCAAATATAAACCTATATATATAAGCGGTGCTTTCGTACGGAAGGCTGTTTTTTGGTACCGCTTTCACTACAAGAATTAACACTTTTGCCGACCAAAAAATTAGTCGCTAAAAGCCCATTTTTGGTCGGTAAAAGTTATCCGCGACCAATTTTTTTGGTCGCTACTTTGGTCGCCAATTGAGGTTAGGCAAAAGTAATTCGCGACCAAAATTTTGGTTGGTCGGGAAAAGTCGGATTTGCCGACCAAATTTTTGGTCGCGAAATATATCATTACCGCGACTAATTAATTTAGTCGCTAAAACGCTTTGGTCGCGAAAAGTGAAATTTTCCCGACCAAAAAGTTTGGTCGCCAATTATCACATTCAACGACAAAAAATTTTGGTCGCCAATCGTGACATTCCGCGACCAAAAAATTTTGGTTGCCAATCGTGACATTCCGCGACCAAAAAGTTTGGTCGCCAATTGTGACATTCCACGACCAAAAAAGGTTTTGGTCGCCATTTGTTACTTTTCGCGACTAAAACTTTTGGTCTGCAAAAGTGAGTTTCCACGACCAAGAGCTTTTTTGGTCGGCAATAGATGTATTTTTTGCGACCAAAACTCTTGGTCGGCAATTGTCATTTTTTGCGAAAAAAAATTATTTATTTGTCGCGACTAATAAATTGGTCACTGTAACAAGCCCGCAGGGGGACCTCGCTACAGCTCGGACTCGACTTTGTAGTCACGGTTCTAAATCTGAACCAAAGAGTCCAAATCCGACAAATCGTTTTAGGAAAACTGATTTTTGAAAGAAATAATTCATTAACATTCGACACAATACAACTATTCAAGTTTTCATTCACAAGTCACATCCATCTAGCATAACAAATTGAAACATAACTATTTGTTATTCATGTGCAGCTATCAACAAATAAAACTACTAATATTTGTTATCCATACACATCCATCCAATAATATTTAATCCTCCCAAAAATGCTTATACTGCCAAGTAGTCTTGTACAATTTTGCTTCGTGCACGAGATCATCCATCATCCATCATCCATCTATACCAAAGAAAATGAGAAATAATGTTAGGCTTGTTTTTAATGAAAATATTTGAAATGGGTAATTAAATTAGATATTTCAGAGAATCGTAAGTTCAAATCAAAATTTCTAACTCATTTGCAGGTAATTAAATTGTCAATTTCAGAATATAAACTGCTAATTACAAATTTGAAATGGGTATTAACAGATTGGACAATGAAACCTTTTTTTACACAGAGAAAAGTGCAAGGTTCATATATTGTCATGGCAAACACAATCAAGCTTGACAAGCATATACAGACATAGAAGACTACTACAATGTTGAAAACAATCTTCCTCTTATTTATGGTTTTCTCTATTTTTTCGTTTCTTTTCTTTTCTTTTTCTTTGTTTATGGTTTATTTGTTTCTCCTTATGTAGTTACTTCAAAGGAATGTTATATAACAAAATTCAAGATCACTTCCATCTTTCAAATCCAAGTAACTTACATATTTGACGTTGCTTTTGAGAATCCATAAACATGGATCTTTGGCAAGGTAATTTCTCTCTACTTGGGCTTTGTTCTAAATATTCCCCTGAATACATCTGCAATAATTGGGCAAAATATTGAGAGAGAGAGAACAATTGAATGCTAGTGTCTGCAATTTTGAAAATCGCAACATATTCTGTGGTTTCCATTATTTACTCCATTCCTTGTATAACTCCAACACCTTCTCCACTCTTTTCTATATGACATTCAGGTAATAATTTTGAATGACTAAATTACTGATGATAGCGATTTCTTTGAATCTTTAAACTGTTGCCATCCAAGTGCCACATGCTGATGGAACTTAACTTTTTACAATCCTAAGAGAAATGCATAATGAAGACTGTTCACTGAATATAATCTTACTTCCTCATAAGAGGTCTCCAATAAACACATCTCAAAAATCCTTTTTTCAAAGTGATTATGAAGGAGTTAACCAGAGCCAAAGTAGGCCATAGCAAAGTACCTTACTTAGCTAGCCAGAATAAGAATCCTATACCTAATGTTGTAATGCTATTCCCAGGGCTTCTGCCCCATGATAAATTCACAAGAAACGTTAGCCACCTTTAAACTATATCACATCATATGTCCTATTTAAAATTTAATACATCAATTCCTAAGACCAAGGATAGAACTCAATAAGTAATTATTACCATCTAAATCCTTCACAATATATCACCTACTAAGTAGCATTTAAAATGGTAGAGCAGTAAAAATGGAAAAGCTATATGAGCAACTCTCAATATTTAATTTCAGAATACAAACTTCACTGCTGAAAGAAAAAGAGAATTTATGCTCTATCAGAATAATTTACATACCTAGATACTCTGCAGCGTCATTTGGCAAATTCATAACCACTTGTTTGATGGATTGAGCTTTTTGACTTGCAAACATAGCATCAATGAACCTCCTTCCATCCATGTTAAAAACCTAGACATACAAAAACAAAATAATTAAGCCCACATGATACAACTTCGTCGAATGCAAGTTGCAGATATATAAATATAGACACTTTCTAAATTGAAAAATGAAGCTATGAAAACCATTAAACAATAATTGCATGACAAGCTAAATTCATACTTCTATCTTCCTCTCAAGTTTGTTGAGGACACAATTCCTTTCCAGATATTCAACCGCAAAGGGGTTTAAATCATTAGCAAATACATGTTTCACTTTTCTTCCTGCAGATATAGCTATAGAACCAACCCCAGCAAAAACATCACCTGTTAATAGTGAAGAGGAAAAAAGTATATACTACGGAGTCAGAGACTGCAGTATGCTAGTGGAAAACAGCAGAAAATATGATGCAACTGAGCGAACATAAACATACAAACAACATCATAACATGTGAAGCAATTCAGAAGCCTCTGTCTTTCAGTTGCTAGCCTTGAATTCCAATACCTGCATAAAACAATAGGAAAAATTAAATCCAATTCATATTAAAAATAAAAAATAAAAATCATTATTCTTTTGTTTTAGATCCTTGTTTCTAGACTTCTTAGAAAGACAATTAACGTTCTACATGATGAACAGTAGAGTTCAAAATATATTGAGAGAACTCGTGCACCAATAGTTATAGCCTTCAATAAAATTTTGGCTTCTGGTTAAAACATACATGG